TTTCCCTCTTTTTCAGGCAGGATCCTTTTGATCTCATCTACTCCAACGCCTACATATAGCAATCAGGAAATCCAGATCATCACCACAGCGAATCCACTCAGCAGTCTCAGGAAGTTCTTCTGGTACTGTTCACAGCCTCTCTTCTTCCTAACAGCCATTCCTATTCATGCTAGTCAGAGTGCTACATATACTGAAAACGAGCCTTTATCGGTCAAAAAAAGTCACAGTGGATCTGGCAATATTTTTTTCCATCTAAATGAGCATTATAAGACATTAGTTGATATCACAGCCAGTCTAATACGCTGAAAAGCAAAGTCTGACAACACAAGGCTCCAAAGTTTATTTCATTAAACATTATATAGTGTTATGTACAGGGGGAAGAAAAAAGTAGCTATACTATGTTCTAGAAAGCCTATTTAAAGTTATAACCCAAAGATCTGCACTACAGTTAATAGACATTAGGCTGTTTCTTTCTCTTATCAACTACTACAGTTATACCCACCTGTTACATTCACTGCTGGCCCAGTCTGGTACTGTGGAACTCCCGAGTTCTGTCTCACACCAAACAGTATACCAGATGTATTATCTGGTGCAGCTGGTGGAGAATCCATAATATAATCCTAATAAGATATTTTCAAGAGGGAAAAGAAATTTGAGGTTTAACATTTTTTTACTTGCAGGCTTCAAAGGGTTTATTTTAAAAACATATGATTGCTTAAAAGTACTCATAAGTACTCAGCTGTAAATCAAGTACATTACAATCTCCCCAAAATAGTTTCTTTTGACATTTTCGATAAGTTTGCAACTCTTATCAGTGGTTGTTAATTTATTCACAGCTGTGTATCAGAATAGTAAAAACAACCGTAAGACCTGGGAAAGTCCATTTTATGAGATATTACTGAACTTGTTTGAATTGCTAATTGTAATTGCTTTTGTTCAAAAGTCTGATAATGTTTCAACTTATACTTGAACTGTTTTTCAAAACCTTCTAGTACTTTCTTCCTTCAACTCAAACTCAGGCATTTGCCTGTTACTCTTGCATAACAGCTAGCTACATTTTAAAAGATCAGAAAACAGAACTCAAAAGTAGCACAAACTTGCAGCAAGCAGAAGCTTCTCAATGCAAGATGATACTAAATCAAATTCTACTAAGTGGCCAAGCTTTAATGAAAGTAAAAGTACATCTACACGATGTTGACTGGGAATGGCACTCAGATTCATGATATCACTACGGGTTTCTTTTTCTTTTATGTAGAGTAATTTCATAAGGACTTCTGGAAATAATATAATCAAACATTCTTTTCAAACCATAGCTACCCTAAAAGTTGGTTCATGTTTCTCAATGCCTTGTTACATTAAGCTTTGAACATCTCCCAGTACAGGTATCCTCTTAACCCTTCAGTTTGGAAGGTTTGTCCTTTAGTACTACATATAACCTAAAAAATGAAATAGTCCACATTTCTTGGCTCCAACACTGAAAACTTAAAACTAAACACCTTCGCTGATGACTCAAGAGGTAAAATTTGAAGGGCAAAGAAATATGAAATTTAGTTCTCTTGACAGATATTGAAGGCTGTGCAGGGAGGTAGGAGAAATACCTTTTCCAAGATTCATTAGTACTGCTCACATCTTAATAGGCCATTCATCCTAACAGAAACAATCTGGAACATGAAATATTGTCAACAATAGCAATAAGGAGTTAAGAAAAACCTTCAATAGTGTTAGGTTTAATTTCAACATTAAGGTATGAACAGCAAAATATTCACACTTGATCTTTCTACTCTGAAATAATTCAGCTGGTTACACTTCATCAAGCTGTACTGTGAAACAAAAAAACTTGACAAAAGTAGCTCCATTTTCCTTAAATAAATAAATAAAAATATCACCCAATACACATACACAGACTTTGTCATCAGTGTATCCATGAGACAAAGGCCAAAATACTTTTTTGCTGTAAAGATCAATCTCACAAAATGCTTCCTATTCACAATTGTGCTACTTACTTGCAAACATCCCTGTGGAAGTTACCACATTTTTAGCTACCACGATGTTGACCAAACTTGACAGAAAGAAGTCTAAAGAAGTGCACAAGTACACACACAGGTATGATAATCTATTCCAGGACTCCTAAGTACCAGAAAAGTTCTGAACAAAAATGAAGATGCCTCTCCCCATCCTGCCTTTTTGTTGTACATCTCTTAAATGAAGAGCCTGCAGGACCTTAATGATAATGAAGAGCCATTCCTTCTTCTGGTGAGTGACCTAATCCAGTCTAATTAAGTATAAACCTTCGAGAATAGTTGTTTGTTATGAGTAACAGCTACATGAGCTGCAGTCACAACAGAGCAGGTGTTGCTGTAGCCACAATGGTTTCAGACTAGCCCGTGAAATTAGAAGCAGAGCAGCTTAGTCGGCTCCTAGCATGAAGGACTATGCACACTACTTATATTTGAAATATGACCAATATAACAGCTGCACACAAAATCTCATTCCCTTCTACTCTGTGGTTTGTTTTGAAGTGCTGCCAACATTTTAACTTTCTTCAAAATAATAGCCTGGGTATTTTGATGGCATACATACATCTCTCTAGTATATACTAAACATATCTGGCAAGTAAGAAAGTAAAAACAGACATCCTGGAAATTCAAAGTCTCGTAATTTTCAGAACGTCCTTTTCTGTTTACAAATATTCCTTTCATGCAATTTGGCTCTGTCATTTTACATACAGAAAAAAACCCAGTATTTTCCCATGCTTCAGAAAGTAAAAATGTTTTAAAGAAAAAGCAAAGTGGCTTTACCAATGAAACAAACAGAAAAAATATGATCAGACTAATACAGGTGCTCTCACATGCAGAAAGGCAAAATCCAGTATCTTTATAAAATTTCCTAGGGCTCAAGTGAAAAAAAAATAATACACCACCACACTTAAGTTTTCCCAGAGAGTAGTGAAAATACTGGGTTCATACTATGCATCCTAGATTTCTTAACTGTGGAAACCAACATGGTAATTGGTAACCAAATCCACACAGAGGAATTACAATGCATGGCATCAGACCTTTGCTCTCCCAAAATTAACTAGGAACAACTGGAATTTGAATCACACTCAGATGGAGGAAAGTGCCTGCTAAGAAGGGGAAAGGATAAGGTCAGAATTGGCTGGGGCTTACTGCAGAGCATTCTTAGTGCTGAATTACAGAAAATTTTCACCACTAAGAACAAATTTTTTGTAAAGAGAATAGCCCTATGCTATCATCTACAACAGCAGTAGCTTTGACCGAATTAGAATGGCTGTAAATAGTATGACTGAAGCCAAATTCAGCTCAGATTTTTTGGAACTGCATAACAAGAACACAAAAACTAGACTCTTACAGGAAGTTAGTGAATCAAGTCTGTAACTGGAAAGGGGTATTTCAATGATAAAACTGGAATATCGAACATTGAAAAAAGGTAAATTATAGACCTACATGTTACAAAACTGAGGAAATGTGTATTTCAACCCAGTCGGTGATCAAAAGCAATCAGTTCCCACAGAAAAAACTTTGACATCCTGAGATCAAAAAAACGTTGCACCATATGTTGCAGATGACACCAAGTTGTGTGGTGTTGTGGACACGCTGGAGGGAAGGGATGCCATCCAGAGGGACCTTGACAAGCTGGAGAGATGGGCCTGTGAGACCCTCATGAAGTTCAACAAGGCCAAGTGCAAGGTCCTGCACGTGGGTCAGGGCAATCCCAAGCACAAGTGCAGGCTGGGTGGAGAATGGATCAAGAGCAGCCCTGAGGAAAAGGACTTGGGAGTGCTGGTGGATGAGAAGCTCAACATGAGCCGGCAATGTGCACTGGCAGCCCAGAAAGCAAATCGTATCCTGGGCTGTATCAAAAGAAGTGTGGCCAGCAGGTCAAGGGAAGTGATTCTGCCCCTCTACTCAGCTCTCGTGAGATCCCACCTAGAATACTGTGTTCAGCTCTGGAGTCCCCAACACAAGAAGGACATGGAGCTACTGGAACGAATCCAGAGGAGGACGACGAAGATGATTCGAGGGCTGGAGCACCTCTGCTATGAAGACAGGCTGAGAGAGTTGGGGCGTTCGGCCTGGAGAAGAGAAGGCTCCGGGGTGATCTTATAGCAGCTTTCCAGTACCTAAAGGGGGCCTACAGGAAAGCTGGAGAGGGACTTTTTACACGGGCGTGTAGTGATAGGACAAGGGGCAACGGATTTAAACTCAAAGAGGGGAGATTTCAATTAGATAATAGGAAGAAATTTTTTACATTGAAGGTGGTGAGGCACTGGAACAGGTTGCCCAGAGAAGTTGTGGATGCCCCATCCCTGGAAGTGTTCAAGGCCGGGGTAGATGAGGCTTTGCGCAACCTGGTGTAGTGGAGGATTTCTCTGCCCATGGCAGGGGGGTTGGAACTAGATGATCTTTTAAGGTCCCTTCCAACCCTAACCATTCTATGATTCTATATTAAGAATGCAAAGGCATGCTGAAGGATGTTCAGCTGAAGAAGGGCCCTGCTACAATGTCTAGTCATACCCCAGTCATCTTCATATCACAATATTTTAATTTCAAAAGGTAAGTTTCAACATCTGGAAGCTGAAAATCCGAACGTCAAACATTTCCCAGAAAAACTTATTTGAAGCCCTTGCCACTTAGGAAGAATCGAGTTGGGAAGAAACAGAAAATGCATGAACAAAAGCGTCACAGAAAGCCCAAGGCAGAAAACTATCAATATGAATCCTCAAAAACCGAGGAAAATCTTCCTAAAGGTGCTCAAGAATTTCTTAACATCCAAAGAACAGGATGTTACATTTAAGATAACTTAAAAAAATTAAGAGCTCATGAAAGCCATCATCAAAATGTCAACACTGTAAAGAAACCATATGATATATGATAATTTCAACAGTGGAATATCTATGCACTGGATATACCCAAAACAGGATGCATTCCTTTCTAAAGTATGTCAGTCTAACTTGGAATAGGCAGAACTAATACACAGTTAGAGATCCTTTTCCATGCTGTGTACCTTGAAAGTTGTATTTCAGGTTGCAATTTCTCCAAATAGGTGTTTCTCTACCCTGCCAGGCAAGAACAACCACCTGCAGATTTTGACAAAGTAAGACTATAAAACTTAAGTCTCATCTGTGACATTCCTGTTGAAAGCAAACTCAATGAATGAGAAAGAACTCAAGTGTTACGCACATAGTGTCTTTATAGGAAATCACCATCTTGATGAGTTATGTCCTTTTGGAGAACCTTAGTTTTCCTAGGGGTGTTTACTCTTAAGGTTTTCTAATAAAAACAATGGAGAGGCCACCAGTAGATTAATCTATTAGAACAAAAACATGAGCGTGTATGGGCGAGGAAAGTAAAGGACAGGGCTTGCTTTTGCAGCAAAGATTCTGCAAAATCCTAGTATTCCTTTGAAGGACTTAATAAAGTATACTATGTCATTAGTAAACATTTACAAAAATAAAATTCACAGACTTGAAATATGTGTATACATTATGTGAAGTAGCAGACATTTCTGTATTAAACTGTCCTGCTTTATAAAGACAGATTTAAGAGGACTCCAGAGGCAGTCTACATATCCTACCAATATCCAGACTTTTGATTACATCATTTTTTAGGCCTTCTTAGATACAGTGACAGACAGATTCAGCTAACCCGCTTCACCAGACATGCCCAGACTTTCTCTCCACAAACTATCGATCAACTGCTAAGGCTCAAAATTGGAAAGCATGAGTTCTTTCCCAATGAATCTGCCAGAGATTCAGCTACCCAGTTGATAGGCAACGACTTCATTCAGTTCTTTTTCTTAAAGTACATCCCCCCTCATCAGCAACGATTTAGCCACAAGTCTTGAGAAGAACATCTCGTTCTCATGTTTTAATGGCCTTATTGACTATGTCCATTCAGACTGATATGCCTGTTCAGCAAATGCAGAATACATGAGGCTGCATGATTTTTATTTATATCAAAAGACTGACAGCTGGAACAACTGCAGGTATGTATATTTGTATGGACAGAGACAGTGCCTACTATCAGGCTTCTTTTTAACCTGACAGTAGTTGCTAATATTGCAGGCATGTTGTTTAAGCAGTTCCAGCTTAAATTATTTTCAATAAAGGTATTGCATCATAGTTTATTTCATACAAATATGAAATTTTAATCTTCATTCTTTCTCTCTCACAAATGTCCAACAGCTAAGGCAATGAATGAAAACAACACTGAACTTGACTCCCTGCAGTTATCATTGTGAGGTTCTGTGGCAATCGGTGCATAATTCCCTTGGACTTTTCAAACAAAACAAATATGTTGCCGAATTGTTTCATCTACCGACCCTGCAACTTTTCGTTGCTTAAGTCCTCCTTAACACACTACTGTTGCACTACAACTAACACATGAACTGAAAAGCAAAAAAACCTAAGGAGCTACCAATACAGCATTCTCTTAAGAAGCAAAAATCTCAAGAGAGGTACTGTAAAAATTAGATGGGAAAACCACAAAGTTACTTTAAAGAGCAAATGCAAGCTATTTAAAAATAAAATTAATTTATCAATACAGAGGATCCATCTCTGAGCAGAGAAATCTGCAAAATTTAGAGAATGAGAATTTCCATAATTTCTCCACACAATCTCAACAAAATAACCTAAACAGTACTGATTTCTCTTCTGCCTAAGATTTTGACTTAACGTAATTCCACTGTCACTAAAGCTATCATCTTTGAGTCCTGCAAATCAGTATTTTCAAATATATATTTTAATTCACCAGAGCAAGGTTATGGTCTTAGAATCTTCACAGTTTATAAAATGCTAGTCTATAATCTAGTCCAGGTCTTCAAATTACTAAATTGAAACAGCAAATTGCTCATTAATTTATTCAAAAGTAATTGCACCTGAGTATTTTACAGTTTAAGGGAATAAAAATTTACCTGATTGATTATTACAGGCTGTGCTGTTACAGTAGTCGCTGGCCTGGATACAGGTTGAGTCACTACAGGAACCGTGATACTTCTTGATGCTGGTTGCGTTGTCACTGGAATGGTTACAGGTCTGCTAACAGTCTGTGATATTCCGGAACTTGACCCAGGCATCTGCTGTGCTGATAAACATCCAGCAACTGGTCTCTGTAGCGTTTGTGAAGTTCCTGAAACATTCACTGGTAGAGACAACGGCTGAACTGCTACAGAGCTAGCTGTAGGTCTTGGTACAGTTTGAAAGACTGATGAAACAGGCATGGCACTGGGGCTGGAGGCGGGTGACGCATAGTGGTGGCTGTCAGGCTTGAATGTAGTAACTGTACCTGTTGCAAAGGATTCTAAAGTTATCTTTACATAATTTTGCAGTCAGATGTTTCATAAGTGTTGTGGATTTTTGGTTTTAATTACCATATTAGGACAATAAAGTACCTCTACTGGGTGCACCATTCTGTATCCCCCTTCGTGATGAGCTGAGGTTGACTCTGTTCAATATATCTGTCAAAAGTTACATTTATCTTAATTGCAGTTAAATTAATAGCTTAATTGCTTTTCAAATTAAAAAGTAGCATTCATATCCACTAATTAAGCCCATCAGGATTTGACTTATAAATTAGAATATTATTTCTAAAATAAATACCTGGCAAAACAAAGCATCATTTGTACAAATAAGATATGTTCTTCTACTCTTCTCTTCAGTTATGCTAGTTCACCTAAGAACTTCAGTTTTTATTTTCTTATGTTAACATACAAATAAGAGTGCAAACAAAAAAGGAACATTTCATAAATATTTAGCTTTGCTGATTATATTCATTTCAGATATACTTTTGTTTCTCCTATATATAACAAGTTCCCCAAATACTACAACTGCTTTACACTAAAGCAAGCATTTTCTCTAAAAAAGTAAATACACAATTCGCTTCTGTTATTACAGGAAAATACAGCACTTAAACTTGGGTTGAGACTTCATCATCTCGATTTTCCATGTGAAAGAAAAGTCAACAGACCAGCAACCAAAGGAACTGTGTTGGAATTGCACTACAAGAGGACTGATTTACTTACGTACCCTACATGGTAGTCTATGACCAGAGTTCTAGCTCATCAGAAGCATATGGCATTTCTTAGATTTGATGTTTACTCCCTAACTAATGTCACCAATATTCCCTGACTTTTTATGTCTTAGTCTGGAGTTTCTAATCATTCCAGAAAGTTACAAAAATATTCATCAAATCAAAGTATTTTTCTACTGCCAGACTCTCAATTCCATTAGTGTTGCTGTCAAACTCTTGCTCTGACATGAAAATATGCATAGCAAATTAGGTTGAACCTCCAATGTCTAACCAAGATTTTAAATAAAGTACCTCCTCAAACCAGGGTCAAATTACATCAGGATCTCAAACAACAGATCTTAGCGTATCTACACGTTGTGTTTAACAACCTTAAGGCTGTTTCCACCAGCAATGGCTCATTAGTATACACTACTCAGGTTGATAAATAAATCTAACAGCAGTAGAGCTCAGATCATCACAGTTTTCAACCTGTCCCCTGCATTTAGATCATGCTCAAAAAAGCAGCTGCAACCAACAGACCCAAAGAGGTTTACATGTTTTAAGATACGATGAAATTTCGTCCTGTAATAGTAATACTATTTTTACCTCAACATAACAGTAACTACAAGCAAGGATTAACTTAATTCAGTGAAATGAAACTAAAGCCTCTATCTACCTACAAAAAACAAGCTATCCTAAAAGTTATGTCTCATAAAGCTTATTCAGCTTCAGACAGTCTGATCCACAAATTCACATCCTAATATACAAAGTTAGATTTTACTCTTTTTAAAAAGAACAAATCTCTGGCTGTGTGAAATGAAATTATAAACTAGATTTACATGACTCAACTGTGCCCTTTCCCCTCCCCTATCAAAGCATTATTTGTCCTGTTTAGGTAAAACAGCACTGAAGTATAAGAAAGTTAACATGCAGAACAACATTTTTAAGTAGCAACAAATTACGGGTTTGCATCATCATGAAAAAAGAAGCAAGAAAAATGAGCAGTAACTGTAGGAAAAACTAGCAGTTGCGGGAAATGGTAAAGGGAATAAAGTGTGAATTACTCTTAATTCCAGACAAACTAGTCCTCCAGTCAGAAGAGGCACTTCATTGTACATGACACTGTACCAGCAGGTCAATGTTGGTTTTTTTAACTATTTCCTTCCAGTTTTCAACACCAGTTTGTATAAAAAAAACTTCTAATTGCATTGTCGGGAAAAGCTTAAAAAAATTTGCTGTGTATTGCAGAAAACATACCTTTCTGAAAAAGTAAGAACTACACGAGTCTCCATTTGTCATCTAATTTTTCATCTGATCAGACAGGAATTTTCCCAGGTAAAAACTAAACAGCAGTGGCAAGCGAAGTTGAGTTCACCATGCCTTGCCCATCACCAGTAACAAACCGAAGCCTGACTACTGCCAGGTAGTATTACTTACAAGCCAGAGAAGAACAGAAGTCATTGTTCCATAGCTGTTTTTGATAGGGAAGTAGAAGATTACAAAGAGAAAAGTTGAGGAAAGGAAGGAGAAGAGAAAGTAAAAAGTTACACTGTAAGTTATTTCACTTGTGTCAGGACTGAGTATGGACAGCAGTAGAATAAGATGCACACATTGTAAGTCTCTATTTTTTACCAAAGTTCTTGAAGTTGCTGAATCATATTACAGTGTTCACCTGAACTATTTCTTCTTTTATGACTACGAAAAAATCTTGAGACTACAATGACTGCAATGAAACTTGACATGTTTGTTGTTCCAACATACGTCTATTGCCTTAATAGTTCTATGCCAATGACCAACAGCAACCTGGAAGTTTCTGGACCTTCTGGAAAACAGGGAAAACACAGTATTTCTCAGTCCTTCTAGAAGTTTTTAACTGCAGAAAACTTCTTAAGAGTAATTTTAAAATATTCCTCAAATTTTCAAGATCTATAATATTTTTTAAATATTCAAAAATATTAACTCTTAAGAACTCTTTTCAGATGAGAGAACTTCAATATCAGCTTCAGTCTTTCTTTAATACTTAAAACATATTTCCCACTTTTTTAAGCTAGTGTAAGAAGCAGTAGACTTACTATCCCAGTGAGTAACAAAATAAAATGGTGTTCAGACGCAAGACGAAAGTATTGTGAACTGAAATGACTGAAGCGCTAAGAATAGCTCCAAAGTCCACGCAGCAGAGTGTGACAGAGAGCTTAGCTTAACATTTTGTCTTCAGATTCTTCACTGCAAATTACACACCTTCAGAAAATGAACACGAAGTCTTGGATACAAGCATAGCAAAGATAAGGCAGAAACTGAAAGCAGTAAGCCTCACCAGGCAAAGTCTTGTATATTCAACAGCTAGAGAAATCTTAGGCCAAACCTCTTGAAAATTGACAACAAGACGGCCGCATACAGAAATAAAGTTTCACTACTGAAATTAATTTAAATAACAAAAATAATGTTCTCCTTTACTTACCTGCCAAAGCCCAAGCACAGGACAAACATGGAATCCTGACACATCTGCTGTCATCACAACCACCTAACCTCACTCCCTGCACTAGGAGAAAACTACAGAACTTCATGAAAAAAACTCTTTACTTTACAGGGGATGAATGAATTTATTAATAAAAATCTCTTACTTAACAGAGAAGCTTCTACTATTTTCACATTAATCACTTTTCCTGATTGTGCTCTCATTATAGACACTGAAGACTGTTACCTTAGTTTTGTCAGAATGATGTCCACACATTCAGACTGTCCACCAACACACGAAATACGGGTGGAGAAAAAAGAGGGACTGTAACATGAAGACTTAAATTCATGCACATTACTTTAGTAGGGAGACACTTCCAAGTATCTAACTAAATATCAACTATATCAATGGCAATTGCATGCATGGTTTCAGCATTGCACATATTGGATTTTTAACCATATTGTTAATGCTAAAACCTTCAAACATCCTTGTTTTGACTTCAAAGATTTAAGGTTTGAGATAGACACAGATGTGTGTAACCTGGGTTTTAGGACAGAATTTCTTAAGAATTCCAATTTTAAGTAGGATAGCAAACTACAGAACAGCTTTACAACGTAGAATTTCTTAAGTCGTACTGTTAAAAATTCTGTATTTTCAAAGTAAATTTAAAGTTTTACACCTTGAAATATCTGGTTTAAATTACATAAAATGTTATCTTACATGTACTGGCTGGCTTCGAGCTTGAGATTTCTCCAACAAAGATTGGCTCATCATCATCATCATCCTCCTCCACTTCCTTCACTCTCTTTTGCCATGGTTCTAGCTCCTCTTCTTCGCATTCCATAAATAATTCTGCCATCTTGAGACTAAACAGCAAAAAACAAAACATGCATACCAAAGCATTCAGTACTTTAATGAAACAAACATTTCACTGTTCAGTAAAGATTACTGCACTTGACAATAATTCCCGTAGAATGGTCTTCCTTACCCACCAATGTTCTATACAGGTTGAATCTGATCTGATATAGAAGATCTTCAAAGACTGACATCACTTCACCTTTCTGATAATTATTTGAATTTTCATCTTTGCTATTAAAAATACGAAGAGACGAAAGATATCCTCCACATAACTTAAAATATTTTCGTATAATCCACGAGTAGCTATCAGAGAAAGCCTCTGACAGCACAGCGAAAGGTATCTTTTAAAAAAACACTCCTATTCCAGGTAAGTGATTCACAAGAAACATGAATCCTACTATGAAGCATGTAATATAGGTGGCACAACTGAGTTACTGAAACTCTGGTTACAACTTTATGCTCTTGCATTTAAAAACACTCTAACCAAACCCCATCCAAACCCACAACCTACCACAGCCCCACAAACTGGAAGTCTTCAGCACAGATGCAGTGCAAAACTATCTAGTATCTAACAAGAGAAGACAACTTCAGGATAGGAGTAATAAGCTGCTCGATTTGGTGATGGACTGTAGAAATAATTAGTCTGTAATAGCTTAACACAGTTGAGCAGAGAGAATCATGCTCCTACTGGGACTGCTAGTGTTACATGCTAAGTCTTGGGGACAACACAAAGTAGCCATCTGTATGTTCGCAGAACTCTAACAAGATACATGCCATGACTGAGAAGTCAAAAAATCAGTAGCTTGGACAATCAAAGTTGTAGTAAGGGGGAATGGATTTGATTACAATAAGTGTGCAGGAACTACTCAAATTGTCTCCATTGCAAAAGGAAACATCTACATCCATTTTTAGAGTACTAACTCCCAAGTTTTCAGCTTCTTTAACTACATTAATACAGAAAACGTCTTCCAGGAATCCTGCTAGTGGTTCCTCTCAAAGCCAAAACCAACAGTGAATCCTCCCACTCTCCACATATTTCCCAGTGAAGGTACAGATGCCAATAAAAGACAGATAAGCCTATCGACAATAGACTTTATTTCTCTTATTTTTCAGTATGTATAAACATATATACACATTCATACACACATCTCCTTAAAGATAGTCCATGCCTCTGAGAAGTCCAAATCTCTAATGAAATGCTGTAAGTATAGAATCAAGGAAAGTGTTTAAACCATTGTTCTAGGCTAAAAAGTGTCAAAATTGTGAACAAGTTGCTTAAAATATTTAAAAAATATCCTTAGACTATATCAAGATACCACTTCAAAAGGCAACCGCTCAGCAAAAACTAAGGCTAGTCATGAAAGTTCATTCAGAAGGTGCAAAGACGCAAGTCCATGGAACACTACTACAGTTACTAGACATGCAATGGACTAAAAACCTGATACAAGACAGAAAAAAAAAAAGGAACTCATTGCACAAAAGAGCAAAAAGAGCAATAAGCTTCTGATGAAATAAGTGTTTTAAATGCACTAGTCTGGACATCTTTATTTATCATGGCAATTACATTTGAAGATACCTGACTTTATTACAAGTCAGTTGTATTTATAACCCTTTTTTTTTACTGTTAGGATTTAAAAGCAGTCACATAAACAAAAATGATGCCAACATTAGTAAATGTAACAAGAGTGTAACAGCTGTAGTGAAAACAGCAGAAATTTATCTGTAGAAGCACACCTTAAAGACGCACAGAAATCAATATTGTAGAAGATCATGGCAAATGCAGCTGCAATAAGATTTAGAGTTACTGAAAACCCATTTATTACTTTAGATCCAATTCACTTGTTCCACTCTTAAGGTCAAGCGAGCTTTCCAATACTCAATACTTCTTTGGATTGGCTTAAAATAACTGAAAACAAATCACTAGTATGAAATCGGTAGTGAGCTTAAAGAGTGAGGACATCTACATTAACCAGAAAGTTCTCAGATTAGCCTTGTTAGTAATCTTTCCATAATAGTATTATCAGTGAATTATTCAAACGCTATTTTTCCTCCAGTTTAAGAGCTGGTCTTCAAACGAGCAGGGAAGTTTTATTATTTACAACATAGAGCACACAGTGAGCACCCACGTTGCATTTTTCATACAATTTCCCACACGGGCACATAACTTTGCATCATGTTAGGTGTAGAAGGTTCTGCAACTACAGCTTCACCAGGACTATAAGCAGTCGTATTTTTATTGTGTGGCACACTTCCGCAGGGAAGAAACGATGACCAAGCTGAAACCGAACCTGAAAGTTTTAAAACGCCAAAGTATAAACCAACTTCCCTCAAAGCCAAACTGCATCAGCCAACACTACCCCCTCCTCCATGAGGCGGCCTAAGCTCCGCCTAGGGAAAGGCAACGTTGCCTTTGAAAACCAGCCCGCAGTTCACACCCGCGAGCGG